GCGTAACGTCAACTCCCGCGGATTGCAGCTGAACGGTCACATGAAGCCGAATATTCTTATTGAGATCGACAGCACATGTAGGGAGCATCGCAACAAGATCAGGGTTGTGATGAAGGATTTGGGGTCCAAGAATATTTTGTTCAATATCGATACTCTTGGTTGCAGCTACATACCGACTCATCGTGTTGATTGGCTACGCTGGTGCCCCGGCTTTGTCTGTTGAGAAAGCGCCTTTTTGTAAAGCCAATTGGTAAACTTGACACTTGGCTCGTCGACCAACCTCGTCACAACTTCTGCAAAATATAGTGTGATAGATAGCAGAATGGGCTGAAGCAACCAAAAAGCCAATTCCAGCCCTAGTGGGCCACTGACAGGTAAGGGAAATTTGTTGACCCACTCCGGTATTCCTTCGGCGTGGGCCGATCTCGTAAGGCCCACCAAGGCATACAGGCGGTCAGCGACGATCCAGATAACAATTCCATGTACCAAGTACAGCGCGAAAGATACGCGTCCAAGATATTGACAGAAACGCGTCTCAAAGAATTGCTTGAGCCATGGCAAGCGAGGCACTGATGCGACTGTGAAGAATGCTGCCCAGAAAAGATAGAACCATTTTGCATCAAATACGGCTTGAGGCTTGAGATGCGATAACCAGATCCATCCTGGTGACTTGGTGAGGATAGCAACGCTATCCGCTTCAGGTGCGTCAAAGGATGGTACGCCACTGAGGTAGAGAGCAAAGACGAACATGTGGAAGAAGATGAACTCCTTGAAGTTTGCCAGAGCCGAAAAAAGTCGCGGAAGTTTATCCTGCTGTGCCAGCAAATCAAGGTCGCAGAGCAGCATTCCAGACATGAACATTGCGCCGTAGTAACCGTCGACGATGTAGAGAAAGTAGAATATTAGCGCGGCCTCGCAGCAGAGCCGGGCATTCTTTGTGCACCTGGAGAGTGCGGAGAGTGCGGTATAGGTGATGATGGATCCTTTGAATTCAATGGGGATCGACCAGACGTGCGCATGGAACTGTATAGGAAAGTCATAGATCTCGGTGGAAAAGACAAAGCTGTAGTTTTTGAACATGCGGTACCATCTGATGAGTTCTTTCCAGTATGTATCTTCCATTGGCTGCAAATCAACCCATATTCCGCTCCATTGGCGGACAGACATGAATGCGAGAGTAATCGCAATGACAGGTAGGAAAAGTCGTAGCCAACGGCGGAAGAGGGCGGAGCCGATACTGTCTGCAGCACTGACAGCATGACCGTCCTGAATCATGCGTAGACTTTTGAGGGAAAGCACATAACCGGATATGACGAAGAAGACGGCAACAGCAAAGTGGCCACCAGAAAAGAAGATGCGTACAAATGGTAGGGTTGCGAAATAGTGTTTTCCCTCGTAGCCGTAGGCGTGTTCGAAGACAGAGTTACCACGTTCCCCGTGAGCCCAGAGCTGGTGATGCTGTAGATAGACCAAGAGTGCAGCGAAGCCTCTTAGGCCATCCAGCCATGCTGTTGGCCTAATCGGCTTGCTTTTTGAGGCCGGCCGCAAGGAGAGAAATTCCGGGCGTACCAGGTCGAGGCTCCATTTGGCCGTTCGAACTGGCTTCCAGATTGATGGTGAAAGTTTGATTTCTTCGATTCCATCTTGGTCCAGCAACCCGTTGTATTTAGCTGGCATTTTCGGTGGTAAAAAAAAAAAGTTGATACAATTGAGGGATCCCAGAAATTGAGATTGAATTGAGGAATACTGGGTACTCGAAGAGACCCTAGATATTCAAGATCGTAATAAAGTGGGCAATTGATGCGCAATAGCAGGATTTGCACAACTCGTCCGAATCATGTCTGACTGCCTAGATGAGCGCGACCAGGCCGGAATCATTCGGCACCAGTATTTGGGCACGGACAGCTTTGAGTGTGACATTGCTGAATTCGGCGACATGCCTCAAATATCTCTTACTCACGAGATGCAATGCGGGGACTGTCAAGGGGCAGATACCTAACATGTCCAAGCGGCCGATGAGCTTGCAGGGGTCAAATTTACAAGCTTTGACCCACCCGCCTTGGTACCAGTGTTGTACCAGTACTAGTTTACCAGGATAGACTCTTAGCCTCCAGGACATATGCGGGGTTACGTGCTTTTTCGTGAGGCTGCCCCTGCATGTGAAAAGAAATTGATGTGCCGAGGGTGAAGGCAAGAAGCGTATTGGTCGATGCGGTCGCATGGGTATATTCTAGGCCAGAGGCTCGTATCTCCGGTGGTGTATTGAGACGATCGATAATAGTTATGGAATGGCTGGGTCAAATTGGCAGGTTCCCAATGTTGTAATAACTCCAGCATGCGCACACGATCAAGGCCACCTCCGCCCAAGCTCAGTCTGAAAATCACGATGCGTCCAAGTTCCCCAATAGTGACCCAATTTTCAGGCAAGCTCACCAGTCAAGTGCGGAGAGTCTTGCCTGCATATATTGCTTTGATCTTTCTCTTCTTGTTCTTTGCCAACACCGAGTTCTTCACAACCCCGATCAGAGCAGCGAGCAGATACAAGCGCGAGCTCAAATATCAGCAGCCACTGCAGCCAGTTGGCTCGTTGATTCCAAAGAAGATATGGCAAACATGGAAGGTTGGTCCTCTAGGCTTTGAGCAGCGCGACTCAGACTCGGCCAAAACCTGGGCTCAGAAAAACCCCACGTACCGATACGAGGTGTTGACAGATGATAACGCAAACGACTATCTCGAGTGGCACTATGGGCCACACGGCCTTGACCGAAAGGATCTCGTCGACCTATACCGGGAACTGAACATCACCATCATAAAAGCCGACCTGCTTCGATACCTCGTCATGTACGCTGAAGGTGGTGTATATGCCGACATTGACGTGGAATGCCTACGACCCATCAACAGGTTCATTCCCGAGCGCTACAACGCGCCAGACATTGACATGATCATCGGAGTGGAAATTGATGAGCCTACATTTGCCAACCACGAGATTCTCGGGTCCAAATGCAAGTCGTTTTGCCAGTGGACTTTTGCCGCCAAACCCCGGCTTCCGGTTATGATGCGGCTTATCGAGAATATCCAAGATTGGTTACACGAGCTGGCCAAAGCGAAAGAGGTTCCTATATCGCAGCTCCACTTGGATTTCGACGAAGTAATTAGTGGTACCGGGCCGTCCGCATTTACCAAAGCGGTCTTAGAACAAATGACGGCACAGAACCACGGCAACCCAGTTACTTGGGATCTCTTCCACAATTTGGCAGAATCGAGGCTCGTCAACGGAATCCTCGTACTCAATGTCGAAGCCTTTGCAGCTGGTCAAGGACACTCCGACTCTGGCAACCACGGCTCCAGAGGTGCGCTCGTGAAGCACCATTACCACGCCTCGGGTTGGCCAGCTCTTCATCCCCGACGAAACCACCCCATGTATGGCGAGGTAGAAAAGTGCAACTGGAAGCCAGAATGCGTAGCAGAATGGGTGAGTAGTATTGCGTGCAACTTGACTTTTGACAATGTGTTGACTGCTATGAAGGACAAGAATGTAGCTGAGTGGGATACGCTATCCAAGGAAGAACAAGACAAGCGGCTCGCCAGTAAACCAGCCCCTCATGGAGTGCCGAAGTTAGGAGTCTAAGCCTTGCTGCCGAATGGACGATTCGACTCGTGTGCTCGTTCGTCCCAACGTTAGGGACGAGCCGAGGCCGGAAGGTAGTAGTGACATTGGGTCGTGGTTAGCTACAGCAACCGCAACCGCAAGACGTGCCCGGGACCTTGATAGCGTCGTTAGAGGTTATCTATCTCCCTTTCATCCAGATGGAAGACACTGGGAGGATCTAATAGGCGTTGATCCTGGAGGCGAAGATGTTGTGGAGGAAGGTCCGCACATACTCTGAAGTAATGTAACCTAGTGCATGACGTAATGAACTCACCTTATATAATCTCATTCCTGTGACCTATCAAGAGCGCTCCTTGATGCGTACATTTTCGGCATCATTTATGGATTTAAGAAACATCCTATGCTTCACAGGCCCTAGTCGACTGTGAGTTTCTATATCCCTGGGTTAAAATAATAATCCATAGAGATACTAAATCCTTCTTGCTGCTTGAAACTTTATCCAAACTTCACAATTCCGTACCTGCTGATATTATGTCCTGAGTTTAAGACATAGCCATCCGTTGTCAACTATGACACACTTTCAAGAAAAGAGTAAGAAACAGATTTCAAAGACAGTGTTTAGAAAAGCAGCACATACACATATCACCGTACTTCATCCCCCCCCCATCCAGCAAATCAGTACGTCAACCGAAAAAAAAAACTCCATCGCACACACCCTAAACACCCTTTTCCAACTTCCCATTACACATACGTCGCCTATCAAAAATCTTCGCACGAAATCCAGATACCACATACCTCCGTCCCTCAAACCACAACCCCCCCGAATATAAAATCCATTCTCTTCATCCAACTTTCACCTTCCAGTTTTCATTGCAAAATGTTCACGTTAATTAAGTAACCATGTTCTTTCATCAAGAAAAAGATATACACAAAGATTAAAGTTTTAAAAAAACCGTTTTTGCTAATTCGCTCAAGTGTGGGGGTTATCTCTGGGGTATTAGGCTCGATGCAAGATAAAAAAAGAAGATTCCCTCTCTCCGCGTAAATTCGAGCAAATCCAAAGGAGAGATGCAAGAAAAGTTGCTCGCGAACTTGGAGAAGAATGAAAAAGAAGAAGAAGAAGGTACAACTATTAACAACATGCTGTCATTGGCAGCAGCAGAAATATCTCACTTCGATACCAGAGATTTGGAGGCAATCAACCCGTTTCTCTTTCAACACTAAGCAAAAAAAACAAAGCCATTAACAGAGGCGATGCTGTTTTCCGTTCCAAACAAGGATCCAAGTTCCTAAACCTCATACTCCGCCATCCTCACCATGTCTAAATAGGGCGCAAACATAACCTATCCTATCAAGGCCGAATGCTTGTAGTATTTAGAACATTACCACGTTACTCCTTTTGACCTTCGTTAAGCACCAACTCAACAACGACTTGGCTCCTTTCATGGTACGGATGCTGCAAGCTCAGCTTCACTGTCCTGTTGTGCGATGAACCTCCGCTGAGTCCATCATCCAAACACTTGACATCACGCCCAGCAATCACTTGACGTAATCTGCCATTCTGTGCGTTGCGAATCTCAACGAAGTCGGGGTCAAAGAGCAACACATACGGTCCGTACATGGCAGCGCTCTCTGCCTTGCCGACAAATTCCATGATAACCGAGCGGGAGATGTCACCGTTCTTGTTGATGTATACCGCACACTCCTGGTAACAAAGAAGGAACTCTTGGTCCGAGAGGCGGAACATGCCCAATGGGACTTGGTTTTGTAGTCGCGATGCAATAGTGGCGACGTGTGGTTGCTTTAGGTCTGGCACCGACCATGGCTGTTTCTTGTCCAAAGTGAGTACCTCGAAGCCCTTGGATGTGGAGATGGCGAGAGAAGAATGGAAGAGATTGATGGTGAAGCATTCAGCCGGGATGTAGAACTCATCGTATTCGCGGAAAAACTCCGTGCGGCCCGTTTTCCATATCCTGGACTTCTTCTCTGTGGATTTCTGATACACAGGCTCGAGGACCTTGAAAGTTGATGAGATTCCGTCGCGCTTCTTGTAGAAGACCAGGGTCCTGTCCTTCATTACACCAGTGGCGAAGAAGCCAATGTCACGCGCGCCTGACAGCTTTTGAGGAGCGCGTCGGGTCGAGTCGTTTGAAGGAGCTATGCCGCTGAGCGGGCACACAGCATCCAGGTGGTATGCAATCAAAGCCTTATCAGAAACGAGGAGCATCAAGCCGAACTGCTCGAGCACGGCAATCTGGGTTACTCGCGGTGTTTGAATGGCCTGGATATGTTAGCTCCGTTCTTCCAAGTATAGAGACATGACTTACCTTTGACCAACCTCTAGGGTTATCAAAGTCGGACACGTATACACCAATATCTGTACCAACCGCCACCATGTGTTTGCCATGGGGTTGGACAAAGGCCGTGGCACAATTAACCCTCGCTCGGCAGATGGGCACCGGACGGCCAACGTTAACGAAGAGCTTCTCTACCTCGTCAATGGCTCGGTCCAGAGGTGTTCCCTTGATGGTTATGGCTCTTTGAGATGGCATAGCACTGTCGTATGCAAACGCAGCATCAGCCATCACTCGTAATCTGAAAGGCTCTGCGTTCTGAGCAAAGAGAGACGCGGCGTGTCGTGTCTTTGCAATGATGAGCTTGTCACACCATTCGGCTCGATTTTGGGCGCTTGGAGCATACAGGGTGTAAGTCTCCGAGCCAAGGTGCTTCACTCTGAACGGATATAGAACCTTCTCATCTTTACTGGCATCAATTGTTGAGGTATTGACGAGGGTCTTTCCAGAAACACTTGTATTTGAGGACCCAAGAGAGGAATTGGTAGTCACGTGCTGCAAAGCGCCTGGAGCAGGACTGCCGGTTAGGCGTGCACCAGTTCCGGCAACTCGACCCGGGACTGCCGTGACCGTGGATATACCCTTCATCGTTGAACGTACAACGGGATCATCATCTTCGCTTTCAAGCACGAGCAGATCCATGGGAATTGGCACCCGGCACACGTCGTATTTCTCAGGCCTAGGAGTTCCATCTGCCTCTCTGAGAGCGACTGTTTTTGCGAGTACGAGGTAGTGGTCGAAGAGTAGTGCGTGAGTCTCACGCCAGTTGAAGCGGTTACCTGCCATTCTTTGCAGATCGCCTCGGAAGATCAGTTCTCGTCCAAGATGATCCAGATTGAGCTCTACACGTTGCATGCCTGGTCGTAAAATGAGCTTGGTTTGAAGATCCGTGAGGCTGACTTTCCGGCCCATCTCAGCAACACGGGCATCGCACTCCAAAGTTACAGCTTTGATCTCATCCTTGGCAATTTGGAGATTCCTCTTCTCCTCATTGTCGACAATCGAGTATTTTAGCACCGTGTCCAGAAGCAGACCGTAACGCTGCAGCCTGTCGATAGGTGCCTTCAGATACGTATCCCAACCAAGCTTGTTGGAAAGCTTGTGTTTCTGAGCTTCATCCAGAAATCTACGGAAGTCCTTGTTCCGGTCAGCCTCTTGTCGAACTCGGAAGGTTGCGTACGGAAAGGCTGCCGCATACTCAATGTATGCGTGCTTGGCCTTCCGGATCCATTCTCTAAAGATGTCGCTAAACCCAACAATCCACGGCCCTTGCTCTTGCTGCCTGTACTTTATTTGTGGGAGGAGATGGTCTTCATTTGCCTTGCGCACTGCATCCACTTTGCTGAAAACGTCGCGGATGAACCGGTCGAGCCTTTCCGCGGGTATAACCTCAGATTTGGATGCCTTTAACCGGTCACGGTACAGTTGGCGCAATACATCGAGTCGATTCATGTAGTTGTCCTCTCCCTGCACAATCTCGTGTAGGATGTTTTGACGCTCGATTTCCTTCTTGTTCGCACCCTCAATGTCCTCCTTTTTCAGCTTGTAAAAAGTCGCCCAATCTTCAGAACGAGGAGCGGCGGATGGAGCATGGAGGTCAATCTTCTTGAGTGTTCGCTGGCAGTGGTGTGAATAGCATCGACCAGGAGAAGCGTGAGTATGCAACATGGGTGCGTAGCAGCCCGCTCCTGTCAGCTGGAATATTACACCCGTGATGCTCTCAGAAGAAAACTTGAGCCATTCTTCTTCGTGCACAAGAGTACCAGCTTTGTACATTTCTGCCACCACACGGCTACTTAGAGTCTCGGCATCGGCAATATTCATCGTTGGGACTTTGTGAGTGAAAAGTGCGACCAGACCCTCCTGGATAGGACCCTCTTTTAGATCATTTTCACCTTCCGTCATGCTCTTGAGCCAAGCAATGATTGAGCTAAGCGCCCATGGCTCTGTGCACTTCTTGAAGTCGATGCTAGACAGCTTTGCGGGGTTGAAACGCTTGCAAGCTGGAATTGTTGGCAGGTCAATAGCTACGGCTTCAGTACTGGCAGGAGTTAGTGTGTTCGCATCGCTGTCCATGGCATTACCATAAAAGGTATTGCGGCTACCCCGAGACCTGTGCCCCTGTTCCGCATCGGTTTTGGATCTGGGCAAGGGTATGGCATCTCGAGCATTGCTGTGCTGTAGGAGCGAGGTTGAACGGGGGACGTGTGTACCATTGGGCGATATCATGTGTCCACCATTAGGATGGACAGGGTACGGGTCACGGGACGACGGAGCGTTGCGCCAATACTCGTAGGATCCAGATCCGGTAGAACTGTTGCTTTGGTGGTTTGTTCGTCGAGCGTTGGTATTCACTGGAGGAGGCGGCAGAGGTCGGTTTGAGATTCCTGGGTGGTAAAACATGTCTGGTGGTTCGCTGGGCATGGCCGATGTTTGTGTTATGAGAGTAGAGCTGGATGCGATAGACGCGCTGTCCATGAGGGTGACCTCATCACCTTCGTCGTAGCTCCGTCGTCGGTCGCTAGGCTCTTGAAGACCACCAGTACCAAAAGTGTCGACACGTGCATTGCTCGAGAAGGACGGGAAGGGGTGAATCGAATCGTACTCTTCGCCATAGCGCTCCGATCGTCGTTGCGAGCCTGATGTCGACGGTGGGTAGCCACTTCCCGCTGCTAGCTGACTTGGGTCTCCACCATAATTGAAGGACGGCATGAAGCCACCGCCATATGTACCCACATCCATGCCTACATATTCGGTATCGCTTGCACTTCCTTCTCTTGCGGGTTCTGTAGGCATTTGTGGTGAATGCACTGACGTGTAGTTGCTAAACAGTCCGCTGCCACCACTAGCTCTCCGGGCCTCATCAGCCCTCTCTTGTTCTTCGGCCATTTGGAGTGCAGCCAGACCAGCAGCAGCCTCGACATCACTCTCGTCGCTAGCGTATGTCTCACGCCCGGGGTATGCACCTCCTTGGCCACCATTCATACCATTGTATCCGGGTGAATGACGCTCAGTGTGATAGTATTGACCGTTGGAGTGTTGGACATGAGTTCCACCGCCCGTCATACTCAAGACGTCGTTGAAAAGCTCGTCCTGGTATCCATTCTGCGGCGTCGAGTACTCATCGCTATCAGACTCGTGGGGTGGTGGTGGTAGCGGTCGCGAAGACATCATATTCGTTCGCTGAGGTGACCCATGGGGCGGAACTTCAGGAGTCGGGGGTAGGGGGTTCGATTGGAAACTTCCGTATCTGTCGCTGCGTTGTGAGCCATAGCCAGTGTCGTAGACAGGTGGTGAGGGTAATGGAGCATGCGAGGCGCTCGACGAGTAGTACCCCGATGAGTTGGAGGCATGCGGAGAGGGTCGGTTGCCCCAATCGTCAGCGGGAAGTTGTGTGCTTCCAGGAGGCACAGGTAGTGGGGGCGGTGCAGGTGTGGTATAAGACGAAGCACCTCTCTGAACCGAGCCTGCTCTCCCAAACTGCGACTGCTGGTATGAAGAGGGCGAAGGGTACGTGGCAGTTGGAGAGGTGGGAGAGAAGGCATAGTTTTGGTTGGCAGTATTCGTCCTGACGAGACTGTTGCTCGCATAGGCAGCTGGATTGTAGGGCTGATGCGAGGCCGTTGTTGAGACGGGCGGTGCAAAGGGTCTGCTGACGCCGCCGTAGTGCGAAGGGTTGGGTAGAGCGACGGGCTGTGTGTTGTAGTTCTGGGGGTTGTACTCGAGTTGCTGTCGCTGTGATGGGTAGCCATAGCCGGCACTGGAGCCGTATCCACCAGCGGTAGGCGACATTGGACCCTGACCGATGTGCGGGGAGTTTGCAGCGGCTATGAAGAGCTCGTCGTTCTGGCGCGCAGCCATGCTGTTGCGGCGCTCTGGCTGGGCATAACCGTAGCCGTAGTCTGAAACCGCGCCTGCGCCTGCAGTGCCTCCGTTTGCACCATCGTTTGGGTCGGTGCTCGATGAGGAACGGTGGTAGGGGTCCTGGTATTGGCCTTGGGCGCCCACGTTGGAATGTGGAATGTTTGGGTTGTAGTAGTTCTGGCCGTTCCCGTAGTACGACATGGCGGCGGGTGTGGGCGAGAGTGGCTACGTGGGCGCAATGGGATGTGGTGCGGTCAAAAGCGTCATTCACGAGGCTGCCTGGCGAGGATGCGCGGGCACCATGACCAGGGCCGCTAAGCTGAGGGTCTGAGGGGGTTCAGCAGCCAGGCCGCGCAAGAGTAATGAGGAAGCACGAGGTGGTGCTGCGACCAAGGGGAACCGTGTGGGTTCGCATGCGCTGGGCGCAAATGTCTGGGGGCAAATGTGTGGGAATGAGGGACACGAGCAGAGCTGCCTGTCGCCCTGTGCGTTGTTGGCAGCGGTCGGGGCAAATCGTCAAATGTCGTTTGCGAGGCTGTAGCGCGGGGAACGGGTCGCTCAGCGATGCTGCTGCGAGATGTGCAACAACGATCAATGTGTGTGTGTATGTGTGGTCGTGGCAATGGTGATGGGAGTTGCGACTGCAAAGAGGCTGTGGTGCGCAACCGTCTATGCTGCTGCCGCGTATTTTCCCGGCACTGCTGTCGCCCGCGTATGTACTCCTAATCGTACCAGATGATAGGTGGTAGGTAGCGCATGTGAGCTAAGAGGAACCGGGGAGCGAGCAAGCCCCCTGGACTCGGGCCGCGATAGGGAAAGAGCCTCGTCGCTCTCTGCTAAGGACTGCTACCATCAATCACCACATGCGCTGTCGTGTTGTCTGAGCCGGGCCAGCTGTAGTCCATGCTACGATATAGTGCGTGCCAGAATGCACGTCTGGTGTCGCCTTGACGGCGCCTCCTACGCTCACGCTAACCCCATAGGCGAGCCATGCTGCCACATTCCGCGCCTCTCACAACACCACCTGCCATATCCCGAGGTCTGGCAATGGCTCATATGCCATGGCACCTGCCCCTACTCACCATGTGCTGTTTCTGCCCGCTCCACGTCACAATGGGAATGGAGAGTGGAGTCGAAACACCTTTGTGAGTGCAGGGACATTGTCGTTGAACTATTTCAAGAACGCCAAAGAAGACATGGGGGAACTTTGCCAAGGTTGAAGACAGACATCCAGCATGTGCATGCGATACTCCTTCATTCAACCATCAGTCCTTGTAGAAGATCGTTCTCTGGTCGTATAACTACTCGTGTTCGCTTGGGATGCGGAAATGCCCAAAGTGGTACACTGAACGTAAAATTGATTTCGTTGCCAAGCGCGTCAGACTTTTACTTAGCATTGTGCTGAACATTGCTGAGTGGAGTAATGCTGCAACGTTGTAGGAATGTCAAACTCCGAATTTGAAAAAACATGTCGTTTATTTTTTTTAAACACAATCCCAACTTCTTCATCCGCACTAGCAGTGTTCTCAAGAGCTGTAAATGGCCTGATACTCTGGTGTTGGTAGGTCCAAAGGGAAAGCTCATGTATTAATGCAAGCCCCGAAGAAGGCTACGACCTCTGTGGCGAATGGGCGGCAGTCATTAGTGCCGGCAGCTCTGGTGTAGAGATCATTGCAGCCGTCCAGCCAAAGGGCAAGTATTTGCATCGCTGCTTAAGCCTGGCCACCTGTACATCATAGTACTGCAGCCTTCGCCAGTCTTGGACAGGAAAAAACAATGCAAGCATCCGATGTAAGCCTTGCCTGTTCTGACCACGGCACGAAGCCCGTGTTTGCAAGGCAACGAGAAACACATTAACAATCATGCTCGCTCGGTTGAGAGGATGGTTCCGACAAAACCCTACCCCCTCAGGTATCGCCGCCCAACATCAGTATCGGTCACTCAAGACGCAGACTTTTTTTCGCGGAGACTGTCGGGTCTCGTACACCAAGTGGATTTGTCGAAGATCGATCTAGGTAGCGGGCATGACGTGGATGTAACAATATAATAGTACGCCACAGCCTTCGACACGTCCTGGATTACCCCGCTTCCCCTTTATTGCCCGCAGGACCGGCATGGGCGACATCTGGGGTTGTCCGGAGAATGGGGTTACCACTTCTTACCTTGGCGTAGGCATACCCAATCTCCAAACACTCCTTCTCTTTCTGTGGGCCTCATGGACCTCTTGGCTACGGCTCGTTACCGCTAGCTGAGCAATGGGCATGATACACTTTGGAGGGTATTACGAAATGCCAAGCCTGGAACTCATTTTGCTTCACGCCGGCATAACAGTATTTGCTGTGAACAAAACGCTGGTCTACATATTTCTTCAGCGCACGACATGGCAATGGCTGTGGAGGTCATCTTTTGACGAGTGGTGAGGTTGATGGCTGGGCTAGATTGTAGCCTGGTCACCACTTGACTTGCTATTCTTTTCAAAGTGGATACCGAGTCAGCATTACGACAAATGCGATATTGAGCATCGAGACGAGCACATGATTGAGTTTTTCGTAGTAATGGATTCCAGGAACGAGAATTTGACGGAACAGACACGACGAAAAAAACACATCGCTGGGCTATCTGGATGAGCACGGACGCGGCGTCCAGCCAGTCTACTTGCAGTGACGGATTGAAAATGGGCTTGGCAGGTGAAGGCTCAGCGACGGTCACCTATTCCGGAGTAGGGAGTAGCCAAGGTATGGGGATGTTGGCTAAGACAATGGTTTTTTGCAGTGTGCAGTGTGGTGTTTGGCATTTGCTGTGGTGCTGGGAATGGACGGGCACCAGGACCAGAGTAGCCATGTCCGGATTGTGCAATGTGTGGCAGACTGGCAGGCTGACGAATGAGGGGTCATCTGACGGTGTTTATACGCAGTCTTTGGATGATAGGCGTACGCTGCTGCTCGTTGCTCGGTTTCGCCGCAGTCAAGGCAGTTTTCTCGAATGCGCCTAGCGGGCTGGGTTCGGGAGCTAGAACGTTCGAAACAGTGCCCTTCTCACGGCCAAGCAGATAACAGGTCCTAGGTCGACACTGACCCATGCACTTGCAGAGCCACGGAGACACCGGTTATGTGGGCATGAAAAAAAAAGAGGTGTTGTGCTTGGCGCTCACGATGATGTTTGCCAGTGTTGTGCTGGTGCTGGGCGGGCAGGCAGGAGTTTACCTACCGTCCACAATACACACACCACATATGATGTGTAAGTGTTAGATAGGTGCCATGATAACAACGCTGACAGAGTTTTACGCAGGCGTGTGCTGCGTGTGTACCATGGCAGCGCACTGTTCGCATAGGGCAAGTGAGCACGCAATGGCGGACGGACTTGGATGTCGTCTTGTCGTGGGCGTGTGGCGATACCACCAACGGGTGGCTTCAGCAGCGCTAGCCCGAGTCAATGGCCAGCGCCGGCCGCTGAGCGCCAGCTTTCTGACATGCAGGCAAGGTTGCCGTTCACGCACGACCCGCGTGCCTAACGCGGGGCAACATGGCCGCGGCGGACCTTCACTCACTCTGCCATGTACCCTGGCGCCCAGGCCAGTGGGCTCCCAGTCCGCCGTATCGCTCGTCTGAATCGGTGCTGGACAGTCGGTCCGCCTGGCTGGGCTGGGGAAGCCTGACGACGTGCAGTCGGCGCGCCGTCGTGGACAAATACCTCAACACCAGCCTGCCAGCGAATTAAGAATAGGCTGGAAACTTGGCTCGCTTTTGCCAAGCCCCCAGCCAAGCCCCCTCGGACAGGGCCTGTCCCACCACCCCATCCTCCATCGAGAAGGAGATGTCGGCAAACACGCCTGGCGCACCACCACAACGCCCTCAGCCGAGCGGCCCTCATTGCCACACACGACCGGGCATTGGGCCTGCGGGCGCCGCCCTCCCCCACCACTCCACCAAAGCGGACGCTTGGCCGCCATGGGGTTGCTCGTATGCTGCAATCACGCTTCGCCCACAGCTTGTTATCAGCAGTCCCGTGGGCCGACTATTTGCTCCTCTCCGCCTTGTCGGTCTTATCACAGTCGGCTAATTATCACTATCTCTTGGGCCGCTCAGAGCCTTCACGCTGCCAGCCGCGCTTAAGTACATGGCCTATTTGAAGCCCACCAGCCCGCCCTTTCACTGACCCGTCAGCTGTGCCCTGGAGCTTCCCTCCTTCAAGTTTGTGCCCTGCTAACCCCGGTGCGGCCCTCCGCCACCACTTGTGCGATACAGAAGACTCCCATTCTGCTATCCGCATTGCCATCGCTTGCTCAACATGGCCATCACAAACCGCAAGACAAACTCCTCCGACGGCGGCTCGGGCAGCCCAGACATTGAGTATGGCGGCAAGTCCGAGTACCAGACCGGTGACGTGCGCGTTGACTCGGATGGCGTTGCTGTTCACGACGACAACAGTCACCTGCACCGCGGTCTCAAGTCGCGACACATCACTATGATTGCCATTGGTGGTGCCATCGGAACTGGTCTCATCATTGGTACCGGAAAGGCTTTGGCCCAGTCTGGGTATGTTACGCAAATCCCCAGCCTTGGCCTACAGCTAACAAGCCCAGTCCTGCCTCGATCCTCATTGCTTACACTCTCGTCGGTCTCATCGTCTACGTCGTCATGACGGCTCTTGGCGAAATGGCTGCTTGGATTCCCCACGCTTCGGGTTTTGCCGGTTACGCCACTCGTTTCTGTGATCCTGCTCTCGGTTTTGCTCTTGGGTAAGCACTTCCTCCGAGCCTTTTGTTTTTTGGTCACACCACTAACTTCACACAGTTGGTGCTATTTTGCCAAATATGTTATTACAACGCCCAATCAGTTGACCGCTTCTGCTCTGATTATTCAAGAATGGAAATCCCGAGAAGAGGTCAATCCTGGTGTTTGGATCGCCGTCTTCCTCTTCGCCATTTGCGCCATCAACTACTTTGGTATCAAGTTCTTTGGTGAGCTTGAGTTCTGGCTCAGTTCCATCAAAGTCATCACCATTGTTGGTGTCATTCTCCTCTCGTTCTTGTTGGCAGTCGGCGCCGGCCCTGGTGGTGCAACTGGCTTCAAGTACTACAAAAATCCAGGTGCCTTCAGACCGTACATTGCTTCTGGGAACGAAGGCAAATTTTACGGCTTCTGGAGCTCTTTGGTCAACGCCGTCTTCGCTTACCTCGGAACTGAACTCATCGGTGTCAC